CCATGTGCACATGTGGGCCTCAGCAGGCTGTAGGTGGGGAAGCAGGGACACTCGGGGAACCAGCATCTCAAGCTTGGTCTAGAGCCATCTGCTATTTTGGGGAGGGACCTATTTCTTCCACGTGAACTGCTTCATCAGAGTCAGCTTGACCACTTTCTGAACAGTTACAACACTTCTGCTGTTGATTTTTTTAGGTCTTAAGGTGAATGTCCAGGGTTACAGACTGTCCCTTACAGAACAGAATAGATAGTGTCCAGTTTTGGGCACTTATTCTTGAACAAGCATTAAACAAAGAGCGGTACAAAGGCACTGTGTGTGCAGTGAATGTCACAGACCCTGCAGATGTTTGGAAAGAATGTCTGTATTCCTAAATTAGACAGAAGTTGTGTATTTCTGTTTCCTTTTTCAGTGCCATGTTTAAATGCTTAAAAACAATCCCACCTGCAGTACAGACAGTCGATACGTATCTACAGCTCCCATCGACTTCCATACAGCATGTAGACATGCAAAATTTTGATGCAAATGTGATGTACTTACCTAAAGACTCACAGATTTATAAATGGGGACTAAGAAGTTTCATGGAAAACATTAACAGAGCTAGCAATAGTTACAGTTTTAAAAGACTAAAAACCTGATAGTGACCCTTTGTTAAAAGCTGCCCCAGGATTTCCTGTACTGCCACATCTATAAAGAAATATAGCTGGCAAGAAAATCCATTTGACTGTGCATATAATAGCTATTGGCTAAGCCAGCAGTTTTCCCAAGGGCTCATGGAAAATTCTTTGCTCGAATTCTCAACTGCCAAGGAGCTCCAGGTGTTGCTAGAAGTAACTCATGCCAAGTGGGCTCCCAGAGCCTGGTTCTCCAAACAAGAAAGCTCAATGCATTGGCCTTCTCCACAGTCTTATGGAATTACATTAATGTGTGTGGACCTGAGATTCCCCAGGTGCATTCCCACCCTTGCAAAGCAGTTGTAAAAGCGATACCTTAGCAAACTGAGAGGTGCTGTAACCCAACAGCAGGGTTGGGTGAAATCAGGGGGCCTAGAACACAAAAAGTCTCCAAGCTGTTGTAGTACATTTTAACATATGATTTTATGTTAGCCAAGGGCAAAGCTTGGGGGATTTTTCTGATCTTTTCTGATTTGATGGCTATTTGTGGCTATTATTTCAATAGGTACTATTCAGAGAAATCAAGAGAGTACACAGTAACTTTGAAGTGCAATATGTTTCTTTTCGAATATGCCAGTTTGCCACCTACATCATTACCTAACGCTTTTCCTAAACCTTAATTTTGCTGAATGTCAGGTCAGACTGTTCGGAAATATAAAACATAACCACTGCTCAGATAACCTCCATCCCCACTTAAGGCTGACCGTAGGCAGTGCCAGGTCAAGCTCCCTGTGACTACAGAAATAGCATTGCCATCTCTGAACACTTCAGTAATGCCTGTTTTCTCAGATAGGGCCTTGACACCGAAAGTAGCAGAGATGATAGGTGATTAATGAAGGCAGAGAAAGATTTGTCTAATTCTATGCAAAGTGGAGGTAAAACATTGTAAAGTTAATGCAGTCTAGTTTTACCTCTCATTGTGCTGCATGCCCAATATTCCTGTATGGTGGGGGGAGATGCTGTTTTGTCTAACAAGGGAAATCATCAAGGATCAAAAGGATCAAAATCCATTTCCTTGTATTTTAGCTGGTTACCTGCAGGTACTTTGCTGGTGGAGGATGAGGCAAGGCTAGTTATCCCCTGATAACACAGGGGCACAGCACATCAGTGTTCTATTCCATGTGCTGGCTCCAAGTTTTCTCTCCCTTTGTCAGTATGTCTTAAGTATGAGGAACATAAGGATGTTGAAGTGTGGCCAAGGGTTCCTTGTCCTCTTCAGAGAGATTTTATTCTCCTCTTCTTTCCACGTTGCTCCCAAAAATGTGCAATTTGCTGGTGTTATCTTGGCCCAGGGTGATATGTTTTCCTCTTGGTAGAATTTCAGTCTCAGTCAGAGCTGATTCAGGGTATCTACAGCTGGTCCACTGTGTTGCCTTTGGTTTATGGCAGGCTTTCTGAACATCTGTAAAGTTTTCACTTTTTCTGTTAAATCATCATGTTCTTGCTATACTCCCCCTAGTTCCACCATGAAGCTAAAATTCCTGAGCAAATCAGCTCAACACTCCTGCTCTCTTCCAGCTCTTTAAGTTCCTTTCCAAAACCCATATAAATCTTCAACAAAGTCTTTGAACTTAACTGCTTATTTAAGAAATCACTGGCCTGCTTTTTAGAACTTTTTTGAGTAGTTTTTCTTATTTGCAGTTGTAGGGAAGTTACAAAAACATAACTTGGAACTATCCTCTCAGCTGAAATAATTTTTCCACCCTTAAATAACTCTCCTTAAGCCATAGGGCAGTAAGCTTTTTCCTGTAAGAAAATCTCATAGTTCTGATAAGAAGATAATAAAGAATTTTTACAAAGGTTTCTATTTCAGATATCTAATATTTACAACTAAACAAAAAGACTGGGGTTGTTCCTGGTTTTCCTTTTCCATAAGTGGGCAGAAAGAGAGGGAAGAAATGAGATAATATGAAAAGCTTTCTGTTTACTCTCATTCTTGCCTCCCCTGTAACATGTCTCAAATAGTGCACAGTTAACGGCTCACCTAAACCTCACTGCTCCCAAAGCAGGGGAGCAATGACTGTGCAAGCTTTATTAGCAGCTGTGACTAAAGAGACCTGTAGTTTGGCAGCCCTCCACAGAGCTGAAGTCATTGACTTGGCTCCTACAGCAGAGGTTTGCCCCTTCAAGCACTGCTGAAACAATTGATTTTATTTTCCTGAGAGAGAAAATGACTTAGACAGGTGCAGCTGACTAAGATTTTCCATGGAACATTCTTCAAGCATTGCTGGTTTTCTTTCTTTAAAATCTGGAGACAAGGGGATGATTATAGTGAAAATACTTTGAATTAAGCAAATATTTAGGTCTGTGTAAATAGGTTGACTAGAGGTTGGGATTTTTTGCCTGTAGGTCTGGGAAAAGGTCTGTGCTTGCCCACGTGAAAGGCCTTATTGTCCCTCACTGCAAATATGCACAGTAGGGTTCTCTCTTATCCATATGACCTGTCAGGGCTTTCCCAGCTGTTACGGTTTGAAGAACCCACAACAATTTATTGTCATTTAGACAATAAATTGTCATTTAGACAATTCTATCACCTGATGGCCTGTCCCCACCCGGGATGGGGAACTGGGGGAAGCTTGTCCCCACCCGGGATGGGGAACTGGGGGAAAAACAAGAAAATCTGAGCGTTGAAATATAAACAGATGTAATAGAACAATGCTAAATAGCTAACATTAATAATACTAAAGAACCAATATTGATCTCAATACCAATACAAAATAGATAAGAATTGTGCTCAGCCCATTCTGTCAGCAGGAAGCTGTGCACTCCCAGCAGTGGTCAGCAAATGTCGGACACTGTGAGTGCTACTGCTTCAGGAGGAAGGGAAGGGCTCAGAGGTCCAGCACCAGGGCAAGAAGTTCTCAGGATAGCAGCTATCATGGAAGAGATAACTCCCCAGCAAACTTTCTAATTTGTGTTGAATGGGATGTTCATAGCATGAAATGTTACTGTTGGCCAGCTTGGGCCAAGTGTCTGGCTTTTACTCCTCCTCATCTCTGCACCTGGTAAGGCTTGAAGACACTGAGACCTTCAAACGCACATACCATAGCTGGCTATAAATTAAATATTTTCATGAATTCAGACATTAGAAATATCTAGTTTTCCCTAGCATTAGAAGAGAACTTACTGAAAAGTGAAACTACTGAAAGAGAAAATGACCCCATGTGACTCAAAACAGGACACCAGCCCAAACCACAATGGCAGAAGCATTTCTGACCCAGCCTAGCCGGAAGCCAGAGCTCTCCAGCAGTGGCAGGGAGCCCTGAGCCCTCTCAGGTAAAGTTTTGGTTCCTTTCCCTCCTCAGGGAAAGCAGAGATGAGACGGGAAACGCTGGGAGGAGGAGCTGCCGCTTGGCTCCTGCCACTTTTGCAAAGTGCATGGAGGCCTAGTGGTTCCTGATGCTGAGGTGACTCTGTGAAGGGATCCTAATGGCAGCTTCTGACAGTTCATTAGCACCATCAAAGCATTCAGCCCATCCATTAAACATCAGTAACCTTAGTGAATTTAATCTTATTTAGGATTTCTGTCTACCAAGTGCCTGCGCAGACGTATTGGCAATGGGGGCTTGCGGGGTGGCCTCTGTGAGGAGATGTCCAGGCTGCTCAGTGCTGGACATGGCTGGTTCCAGATGACTCCAACAGACTCACCACAAGACACAGCTGAGCCCCTCAGCCAACATGGTTCCTTCCCAGAGGAGAAAGCAAGTTTAAAAAATGGTAAAAAACACTGTGTGGCAGCTATGAGAGGGAGGAGTGAAAAAAACTGTGAGAGAAGCAGCCCCACAGACACGGAGAGAAGGCGGCGCAGAGGAGGTGCTCCAGGTGCTCAAGTAGGAATTCCCCTGCAACCCCCGGAGAAGGCCATGGAGAGGCAGGTTGTGGCCTTGCAGCCCATGCAGGACTGTAGTGGAGCAGATATCCACACTGCTGACCAAGGAGAACCCCACACCAGAGCAAATGGATGTGTCCTGAAGGAAGCTGCAGCCTGTGGAGAGCCCACACTGCAGCAGGGTCCTGGCAGGACCTGTGGCCCCATGGAAAGGAGCCCATGCTAGAACAGCCTGTTCCTGATAGACTGTGCTCTGAAGAAAAGACACATGCCAGAGCAGTTCTTGAAGGACTGTCGCCTGTGGGAGGAACACCATGCTTGAGCAGGTGAAGATCGTTAGGAGGACGTTAGGCAGAGAGATCGTTAGGCAGAGACAAAGCAGCATAAACTGACTATAGCCCCCATACTCCCATTCCTCCTTTCCCTGTGCTGCTCAGGGAAGGAGATAGAGGAGTTGTGAGTGACTAAGCCCGGAAAAGAAGGGAGGAGTGAGGGGAAGGTGTTTTTAACTATGTTTTTGTTTATTATTGTCCTACTTTATTTTAAATTGGCAGTAAACTAAATTAATCTGCTGCAGCACAGCTCTCCATTCACATCGTGCTGCTGGAAACACTAGCTTCTGCTTGCTCAATGCTCAGGAAAGTGTCAGAGTCACCTTGTTGCACCCTGAACATCAGCTTAATGGAGAGGAATCTCTTGGAGACACTCACAAGCCTAAGTTTGCAGAAGAGGGGAGGAGGATGAACATGATTAACTGGCTTTGGGACAATGAAGGCATGACCTCCCAGGCCGCTGTCACCAATTTTGGGAACCAGAAGATGGTTTTTGCCACATCCAGTTCTCCTAGGGAGCCCAGGATTTACTGTACATGCACAAGACCACTTAGGATGGCCATTGCTACAATGATGTGCAGCTTTCGCTGACACAGAAACTAAATTCTTGCCCTGCCAGAAAAATTGGGCCCCTTACTCTGGAGCAACTAACGAGGAATGGAGATGGGAGCAAGGGCTTGGAGCTGGTAGGAGGCAGTTGTCAAGCTGGAAGGAAAAGGATTATTCTTTACCCAGGAGCATCTACCATCCAGGAGAGGAAAGGTTTAGCAGGCCTATATTTCTGTTTTCTTTTAGCCACTGAACCCTGGAAGGACTTAAAAGATGAAGGAGACTTCTGGGATTCACAGTGGAATGAGAGGGAGGGAAAGGATTGTTTCTCAGCTGAAGGGGATAAATTTGTGGTTTCTGAGATAATGACTTGCTATGCAGAAAATGGGAGACACAGAGAGTTTCTTAGCAAGGAGCAGGAAGGTTTATCTGCATGAAGAGGATTGTGGCACTAGAGTTGAGTGAGCAAGGTAGAGAAATGTTTCTCAGTTGAAGATCCCAAGGATGCCTATTTGGCCTGGGTCATTTTATAAACATGGCCCACTCAAGCTTGTCCCCAGCTGCCTGTTTGTAACTGAAGAATAACCTCAGGTAAAATTTATTTATTTGTTAAATAGGGATCAATTCTAGTCCCTTTTTGCAAAGAAGTGGCTGGGATGTGCCCAAGCTCTCTTCTCTGCACTGGGAAGTGCAAGTGCTCTGGACTAGTCTTCCTTGACAGCTGGGTTCACAATTTTCCCCATGAAGAGGATGCTGTGGGTGGTTTTGTCCACAATTATCATCAGGAAGGGCCTATTGAATCTGATGTGAAGAGGAGGAGGAAATGGTGCAGACATTGCTACAATTTCCATCAGGGTCGCTGCAGCAGCCTCTGTGCCATTCTCACTGACATCCACCACGGCCTTGTGAATTGCCTGCAAGGGAAACAAAAATTAAAACCTAGGTACAGAAGAGTGAGAAGCAGCTTGGGACAAACTTGCTTGCTTTAGCACTGTGAGAAGGTAGTTTCTAAAAGAAAGCACAGAATGAATGTAGAACTGCTGTGAAAAAGGGACTCGTGTCCAACTTTTCCAAGTCAAGCAAAGTTTGGTCTGAGTTCAGGGACAGTTTTTGTCAACATTCTGGCAGAATCAAAATTTGTTGCTTGCAGAGACTGAGCAGCACAGAGAACTTTTTTGCTCTGTTGTTTCTTAGAGTAAGATTTTGTCTTTAGTGTTTAACACAGAAGAAGAAAGTTTTCATTTTGCATCGGTTTCTTTGTATGAAAAAAAATTCTTTCTACAAAGACATAATAGTGACAAGCTTTACAGTGTGTCTTTCTGTAATGCAGTCCACTGCTATGCCTTTACAGGGCTTTCTATGCTAGGCATAGCAAATTAGTATTTCTGAATTCACATAATCTTATTTCATTGTCTTTGTTCAGACCTCCATGTTTTATCTTCATTGCCCAGAACACATCTGAAATTTCCTCCATGAGGCTCTGATACCCTTCTTCTATTGTAAATTGTCCTAGAACTGTAATCCAGGTATATACACATGTAATAAGGTGTTATTCGGTGTGAGGGATCACAAAATCATTAAACAAAATAGGTTGGAAGGACCTCTAGAGGTCATCCAATGCAACCAATCACCTACACTGTGTCAACTCTGACTTAATAGATAAGGTTGCTCAGGGTCTCATCAAGTTAAGGTTTGAGTATTCCCTAGGATGGAAATTTCATAGCCTTTCTAAGTAACCCATCCTAGTTTTTGACCACCTTCATGGTGACTTTTTTTACATAATATCTGTCCAGAATTTTCCATTTTCTATCTTGTCTGCATTGTCTCTTCACAGAATCACTTTCAAGTGACTTTGCAGGATTGCTATGCAGTACAAAATCTAGTATTAAACTGTAGAAACAAGAGTCATTTAACGCTTAACCTTTTCCTTCCTTTATTACCATCAATGAACCATAACTACACTCCAGAACTGGGATCACCCTATTTGCAGAGATAAAGCCCACATATAAGCAAGGCATACAAATCTCTTGATTACTTACTTTGGAAACCATCAGCTGAGAAATTTCTGCAATTCCAGAGAGATCAGCCTGGTCACTGAACACCTCTGTCACACCCATTTTCTCGAAGAGGTTCTTAACATCATAGGAGCCAGAGATAGAGAATTTTGGAAGGTCCAGATAGATTCTCCTGTTCAAAAATAAATGAAAAATTCGAGTTTGCATCCTGCGATGCAATAGCTGTTGCATGTAAACACCCATCCCAAATACCTGTGGACTTAAGGCTTGGCTTTCTAAGGCTGTGATAAATCCCTTGGTAGAGAAGCAGAAATTGAGGTACCTGTCCCAGCAGCAGCAGCCTGATCAGTGGTGCAGGGACCAAGCAGGGGTTTATGAAAGTGGCTGGCTAGAAAGTATCATCCAGATTGGAGAAAAAGAAATTGTATTTGCTTTTGAACTGTATCCTTCCTACTGGAGACAGGGTCCTGAGGGCAACGTACCCCTGAGCAGAATCCTCACAGCTGGTAGCACTCCCTCTGCTGTGACTGTGGGAGTCAAAGAGAGGGTTCCCCTTGGTTACAGCATCATCCAATACCTTGTCTGAGTTAAAGAAACTGTACAGTGCTTGTTCCTCAGAGCTGTGCTTAGTAATTCTTTGTGGCATCCCAAGCTTTACCTTGCCTTATGATCTGTTCAATATTTAAACAAAGCAGCAGTTAAAAGATTACCTCATTGTAAGTGATTGCATCCAGTTAGACACTGTTTCTTTTAGCAAAGCGTCCTCCACCTGCTTCATCATCCCTTCATCAGGCAGAAGAAACAATGCAACAGCATTTCCCTTGTATGGGAGTTCTACTACCCAGCAAGACATCTTCTCATCCCTATGGATATTAAAGGCTTTGCTTTGATGCATCATTTTGACCTTAACAGAATTCTTGGCATCCAAGAAGAAGTCATCGTCTCTGGTGGACAAATTGTTGAAAGGTTTTTCCCAGTAGCCTTTTGACAAAGGAATGAGTATAGAATTGAATAAACTGAAAAAAAGACTAATATATGCATGTCACATTACTTGGTGCTTAAAATACCGTATTTGAACTGTAAAGGCAACAACAAGCCTATCTCAATTTAAGGATGCTTATTCTCTGGCCATGAAAAGAAGCTTTATGTCATTTCAATGGTTCTAATAAAATCACACAAGAAAAATACAGGCTGAAGGTTGCCATGGAAAAGACCCGAGCCTTTACCTGCTAAGGCAATGGTAAAACTTTCACAGATTCCCACTATACAGGCTCCAGGCTTATTCCTTTCATACAAGTTTGACAACGTCCTGCACAGAGAAACACCTGTGCCTTTCAAGAAATGATCTTAAGTTCCCAAGCTCATACCTTCTTCAGAGCCTTTTGGCTCTGAATCTGCATTAAAATTAATATGACATTGATCAGTACTTCTACAGGTTCTCTTTTCTTTCTTTCTTTCTTGTTTTCTTGCTTTCTTGCTTTCTTTCTTTTTTTTCCTTTTATTCGTATAGAAAATGGTTCTTCATACCTGGCTTTCAAATATTTCCTTACGTCATTTAAAAGTAGAATGACATATTTTAAATTAGATGATAGAATAGGTTTACAGTGTGAAAAAAGTTACCTTCCTTAGATCTGGATAAGACTTCCAGAGCTTATGTGTAAAACTGCTACCCATGTTTCTCACTCACCTTTAAAGAAAATGTAGTTGACTAGAACCATCAGGGTTCCTTCATCAAGCTCCTTGACTAAATCAACAATTTTCCCATGCGTTTTTGTTTCTATATACTTATTGATTTCCTTCGTAGCCTCTGGAGAATTCTGGAAGTCACTGGAAATAGCTTCAGAATAATAAAAGTTTGTGACATCATCCAAAAATTTTTGGAGCAGTTTCAGTCGATCATCTATGAACAGGGCATTGCCCATGCTCAACTGGACTTCTCGGTGAGGGTCATTCAGCAGTTGGAGAACACGCTGAAATCCGTCATGGATCTCTTTCTCCTCCAGCTCTGTGAGGTTGAAGGCAAGGCCTTTGTGCAGCTGATTGAGCGTGTTTGATCTGGCCCCCAGGGAGAGCATTGCAAAGGCAGTAGAGATGCTCAAAGGAGAGAAGAAAATGTTCTTGTTGCCCACCTCATCTCTGACATGCTTGTAAAACCTAAATGCAAAGTCAGCATTGCCGGGGGCTATCTTGACATGGGGCAAGTTTTCATCTTCAGCCTGGTCTTCTGGGGAATGGGGTGTTTTTTGCTCCTGCTGTTCATCATTGAGGTTGGATGTAGGTTTACCCTGGACTTGAAGTGCAAGAAGCAACAAACACAAATACAATGCTGACTTCATTTTCCTTCTGAGCAGTTCTGTTAAGAAAGAAGAGAGAAATGTTTAGCTCTAGAGAATTTTATCTTTCCTGTATAAAAATAGTTTTTGTATTCTAGATACTGATTTTCAGATGTCAGTCTTTAGTATTACTGTTCTATTTAGAAATACTCTTCTACATGGCCTCCTGGATAGCCTATTTCTAGTCAGTTCCATCAGTTTCTGACCAATGAACAAAGGAAGGAAGATATTAATGTGACATTGCTAAGAAAGAGTTGATGTTGTGAGGTGGCTTTTGTGAGGTATTATGCCTGAAATAGTTCTTGCTGCTGATCAGCATGGCCTTGTTGCACTCCTAAGTGCTTTTGGGTGCATGGCTGAGTTCACCAATCAGACCCCATGTGTTTGGTAGGTACTTTGGAAGAGGGACTGACTTTTGCTTATATGTTTCTGTAGTACCCATGATCTTGTTATGACTGGTTTTCAACAATATTTTAAATGTTGCAGCAAATTGAGAATAAATCGAGAAAGTTTACTGACCCTCTCTATTGTGCATAAACTATCCATAGATTGCAAAGCCCAAGACTATAGCTTTGGAAAATCTATAGCGGAATCCCTTGCTGAGTAAGCACAATTCAATGACTTTTCATCTTTAACTGACATAAGCAAATTCTACATAATCCTGCAGTCTCTTTTGCCCTTTTCAGGGGAAGAACCATGAAATATACTGGAGAAAAATGTTGTCTATAAGGTGCCTCACCTAAATTATCTCAAATAACAGAAACTCAAAAACTTAAAGTAGGCAGTGGCCTGCAGGAAAATAGAGACAATCTGGATGTTGTTCATACCAGCTGTATAATTATTCTGGAGCATGGGATTCTGCCCCAAGGTCGGGCTGAGGCTGTGTGTCTATTGCCAGGTATAAGTTTTTAATCAAACTTTTCATGGGGAATTGTTAATTCCTAGTACGCCCTTTTGTGGACACCCAGAAAAACTGGAGATAATAAACTGTGGAAGTGCTGAATTGTGCTCAGCATGTCTAAAATGCTGGATAAAAACATTTACTCTGAAAAAAGAAAAGCATTCTAAATTGAGGTGGTACATTTCAGTCTGGTAAGTATTCTTTTCATCATTGCCCACATCTGCTTTTGAGAGAGACTAATTTCTCTTCCAGGCCACTTGGCTGCAAGTAGCCTGGTCTTTAAGCACACTGGAGGTACAGGGATGCCACTCTCATTAGCCCTGTATCAGACTGGAGTACTCAGGACATTGACTAAATTTACTCCTCTGGGAGCAGAGACAAAGTTTTTTTCTTCACTTTGGGTGAAGAACAAATTGAGTGGATTGAGTGTTGAGTACTCATTTTGGAGATTTTGGAGACCTCATCACCCAGTCCTTATGCCAATATATCTAGGAGATGGATCACGGACTGAATCCTGCTTCCAACATTTAGGGCACGCTTCCAGAAGGCAAAATAACTTCTAATTACTGTGTAAACTAAATTAATCTCAGAAATTAATATTGTTCAATAAATGGCAGAGATCACAGACAAAATGAATTCAAAGACTTCTAAGAAAGTATATTATGGTACTTACAGCGCTGGACTTCTCTTTCACGGTGCTTCTTTCCTATTCTTCATTTTGTTGGGCAGTATTAAGTTAATGTCCACTGGTAAATATTAAACAGAACAAATAAGATTTATTTGCAAAGCAAAGACTGAGTAAGCTATTTTTTTTCTGGACATCAAACATTATAAGTCTCATTTCTCGTCATACAGGCAGAAAGATGCCAGCACCTAAGGCTCTGAGGGGAGAGAAAGAGCAAGGACCTTGCTGCTCTTGGGCTTGAACCAAACTGTGGACATTAGAGCTTTGCAAGTTAGTCTGGCATAGCCACGGTAAATGAGCTTTAGAGAGCAGAAAACTAGAACTGGAAACCTAAAACAGGGCCAAAGCAATGCCTGTTTATAGAGAGGATGCAGTGTCCCACTGAACTCTCTGCATAGGATATCCTGATATAGGGATGACACCTAATTGAGTACCCAAGTTAGCAGCACATTTTTGTTCAGGAATAGTTCAGTATCTCTACGTTGCCCTGCAACTCACACTGCAGGTATGCCCTAATTGGCAGTATTTGAAGGGCTCATTAAATTACTAGATGAAGGGTAGTCAGGGGCACTGGTTAGCTTTTTGAGAGGCCTTTGAAGAGTATTTTAGCAACTACTACAGTGGGAAGCAAAATATTAGCATGGCTTGAAAAATAGCCAAAATAAGGAAATAAATGGAAGAATCAAATGAGCAATCTTTATCATGGCAATATGATAGCTGGGGAGAAGAGAGGAGATCTTCTTAACCCCTTGTTACATACATGTAAGATAGATTGTATACATGTATACTGTGTACATACTGTATATGACTTGCACCTGGATCCCTCTCAGAGGGAGCTGAGAGAAACAGACACAATTTAGCTATTTAGAAGTTTATTTAAGATGCATGCCACTCATCCTAAGTAGCAATGACAAATTATTTCCATTGACTGTACATGATTTCACCCCAGGTAAATCTACAATTTATCTACACGTAGGAATCTACCCACCACAGTTGTTGCTATGTAACTACTATCTCTCACAATATAGAGGCAGAGTTGATCAGAATGTATTTCCTCAGAGAAGTATTTTTTTTTTTCCCATGATGTGTGCAAGTACCCAGAAAGTTTATTGCGGTATTATGTATAATGACCAAGGTTCAGTGGGAGCAAGTATGCTGTTGCTTAACTAGCAAAGACAAGCTATTTTAATCAAGTCTAGGCCTGCCTGCATAGATAGCATGAATCTTTCAGCCCAGCCCTAATGCTTGGCTAACCATCTGAAGGATGCTACTCTTTTCAGGGAGGAACTGTTGGGAACAGCAGAGCTGCTTCTGTGATTCCTCTATTTTCTCTGGGACATGCAGCAGCAGTCAGCATGTCAGGGAGGGAGTGGAAGGTCCTGCTCATCACTCCCAGACAGCTTCTCCTCTGACCCTGGCCCAAGTTTCTTCCTAGGCAAGGTTAAGATCAGCAGTTACAACAGACTCACAAATGAGTGTTTTCAAAGCAATCAGTCTCAGCAATTCCAGGTAGACCAGCATGGTTAATGAATGCATCGGTCACACCTAGTTTTTTGAAAATTTCCCTTAGGTCATAGGTTCCAGAAATAGAGACTCTAGGAAAACACATGTTTGTCCTGTTGAAGGCAATGAAAAATGATGATGAATCACCACACATGGGTATCACCAGCATACCAGCAGCATCTGTGAGAATCCAGGGAGGGGAAAGCAGTTTGTTAGTTTTCTGCCCATTCCTGTTGGTGCAAATGGCTGTGTCCTCAGAACAGAAGTCACACTGTGAAATGTGAGGCTAAACTGGATATTTTGTGCAGAGTTTTGCAGGAAGGAGATCCACCCAGGGGCATTTCTCAGAGGAGACTATGGAACTCTTGAATCCTTCTAGATAAGCAGTGGCTGGGGCAGAGAGATTCCTGCTCCAGAAGCCAGGGGAGTCATGTAAAGTTCTGACACATGTTTTTCCCATTGGCCTGATAATGGTCTATATGGAAGGAATTAAGGAATAACATATTTCTTTCTTTCCCTACTGTCTGCCAGTTACTTTGCTCAGTTAAGCAATATGTCTTGGTTCCTCCTCACAGGAGCAGTTTCATCCCATATCATTAACTTACTCCTGCTGCTGCTTGGTTGTCAGATTACTATATGCTACCTTTGCAAGTTATATTTCTGGGTTTTCCAGGGCAACAGATTTCTGGCTGTGGAAACAAAACATCAGCAAGGTGATAAGGATTGAGCAAGAGAAACGTAAACTTTGCATGATAAATCCTCATGCAGCCATTTCTTGTTGCCTTATAAAGATGTAGCATTCAAGGTCTGTCTGCAAAAGTTCATCTAAATAAACCTCTTGACATAATAACTCTATTAAAATCAGGAGACTGGCAAATTGCAAAATCACTGTAAATAGAATAAAAATCAAGTCCACTCTGTATTTTTACCTGTTTCTGTGAAGGGCATCCCAACTATAGTCTCCATGTCTTACAAATGTTAATCCTTTTCTCCTTGGATAAGGAAAGTTCTTCTGGCTCCATTTCAAAAACCAGCATGAGTGACAGAAAGAAAAGAGCTGAAGATAGGCAAAAAGTCTGTGATAGAACTGGGAATAGAAACTAGACCTTTTCTACTTTGTTTTCAACTTCTTTCACCAGTGCAATAGGAATCTCTGAACTAAAATGTCATATAAACTCATCGTTTGCTGGATGAAAGCTGTATAAACAGAATCAATCTCATGATTTTCTTCTGTATTATATCTCAGAAGGAAATGAATTTCTTTTATTACCAAGGTGTGATTTCATTTCTCATAACAGACATTTCACCTCAGATGATCACTTTCATCAGTTTGCCCAAAACATTATTTTAAGTTTTCTGCTTTGTCTGTACCTAATCTCCTAGCACTGAAATAAAATGTGTTTCCAAGAGAATACAAGCATTTAAGACCTGATGTGAATTCCATTGGAGTCAATCAGCCAGCATTTTAATGTTCAAGATAGGTAATCTCTCACTGAGAGCTCATCTCAGGTTTTACTGATATATATTCCATAAAGTTTCCAGATGAAGACATTGGAATTGTAAACCTGCTTGACACTGCCATGGCTTTTCAAAACTAGTTGTTATATGTGGGGTTCTTTTAAATCACTAGAATAAAAAAAGGGGGGTGGGTGGAATCAGTAATGGTAGATAGATTGCAAGACCACAATTTTATCTCAAATTGAATCGTAGCTTCAAATTCTTTTCCCAAAAGATACATCAAGCTCAAGCCGTTAAGAGTACATACCAAAAACCTTATTTAAGTATAATGTACAAGTATAGGTACAAGAACCTAGAGATGGCATGTATAAATCCCAGAGTTAAAAGAAATGACAGTAAAAGAATGTGGTGGGTCCTCCAGAGTGTCAGTGAGGTTAAAGGCCAGCCCTTCCAGCACCTAAGCCTGGCTGGTGGCTCTGGAGCCCAGGGCCAGCACGGCAAAGGCAGCAGAGGTGCCGACCAGGGAGATGAGAATGCTCTTGCCAGGTTCTTGGGGAGTCACTTGCCTGTAAAACTGGGAGGAAAAGTCCATGTTGCTGGGGACTGTCCACTGACTGGACCCAAAAGGATCTCCCTCGTGGGGATGATGTTCCTGTTGTGCTTAGTTTTCTTATTCTGCTTGTGGCCGCTGGACTTTGACAGCCAGGGACAGGCTCAAGTGCAGCAAAGTAGCATTGCACGTAGTCATGGGTAAAGAAGCTAATTCAAGATTTCTTGATCTAATTGTAAATAGATTTCCTATCTGGGTACCATGCCAGAAACAACTCCTAAATTCATCCATCTGGCCATTTGGGAACTTCTATAGTTATTGTTTTATCAGGTTGTAGCAGCATTTGTCTTTATGATCTGTCAGTAAAACCATTTCTAAAAAATTTTAGCAATCAAAAAATACAAGTTTCCCTTTGGCACTGTCTATGAGAATGAATTGATTACAGGAGATCTGGTTACATCTCTCTGATTCAGCACTAGTTTGGCAGTGGTAATGCTGCAGTCCTGGTCTGCTTTATTTAATATCACTGTCAGATGTGAGGAGTGGGGAGCTGTGCGCTTCATCACCTCCATCTCTGCCTGCCTCTGCGCAGTCACTGGAAGGAGAGCTACATGATGGTTGCTGAGCCTTTCTCAATGGGGCGAGCCAGCTGCCAAGGGAGACTCTCCAATGGCCTTTTTCTGCCAGCTCATTCCAGTTTGTAGACTCAAGGTAGCACCTAGCAAGCAGCTTGCACAACTGTAAAAAAACTTTCAGGGCCCTGAACCAGTGACAGACTTTCTGATTCATAATAAAACTCTTGGTTTCAATATTTTTAAGGAGAAGAGGGGACATGGATGATGGACTGTGGCTATGCTTCCACAGTCAGTTGTATCAAATTTTAAACTGTGTTTAAGTTCACATATATTACAATGTAATAGAATTAAAGAAGAATATTTTGCACTTCATGGTATTTTCTGTGTGCTCAGCTATGAAATGCTTCAGATATCTGCATCAGCAAAGCATTGCTGTATCATCTGAGGACCAGCACAAATCCTTAATAAAGAGCAGGCTTTTAAAAATAAGCATGCACCGACATTGAGACAGCAAATGCACAGGACTGATCAGAAGAAACCATTAAAATACATGCACAGGACATGCACAAGGGCGTCTCACAGTTTGTGACTTGCAGTAGTTTTGAAGGGTTTTTCCTGAACTGCTTAATCTTATTCCACAGAAGGGCAAAGGGGCTCCAGTTCCCTCATTTTTGGGAATTAGCTGGTGAAGGCTTCATGAATTCCATCGGCATGACCTGGAACTTAGTATCATTCAAAAAAGGCAGATCACCAGCAGAGATGGAGCTTATAGGGCTAAATGACCAAGGGACAGTTTCTCATCCCTCAGTCGGTCACTCTGGTTCCATTTGTACCAGTACATTGAGCAGTGCTGAAGCACAGGCCTGGCCATCAGCCTGCAGTTACTCATATTCTTAAATTTTTAGTAGTTTCAGACACAAGTATTGCTCATCTCATCTATGATTCTTCCAAATAAGTGCTAAGCATATTTTTGAAATTAGCACAGGCCAGGAGATATTTTCAATATCCAGCCAAGATTTCTTGCAAAGTCAGATTTAAATAATGTAGATACGAGTTGTGATGAGCCAGTTGACCTCATGGCTAGAGAACAGACCTTGGAGCTTTTTATTTACTAGCATAGATGTAAACTCTGGGGATATAATAAATCTCAATGTTTGTTTTACTCCTGCAAGGTATTCATACCCTATCCCTTCTGAACTTCTATTTTTTGATGAAACAAAAGATTAAATCTGTAAACCAATGCCAGTAGCACCTTTTGAGTGTCTAGCCAACTAAATTACTTCCCAGCTCTAATTTAGCCACCGCTTCCACATGGGATGCTTGTGGAGAATTTGATAAAGGGGGACTCAAAGAAGTCAACACAATATGGGTGGATGGCATCAGCTGTGAATGTCATAAAGGAGACTATGGGGAAAGACTTCACCTTCAAAGGAAGTGCCTATGCCTGGTCTGAAAGTGATGATCTCCCACAACATGTGATTTGAAGCTATGCCTTCATTTTCTTAGAAGCCCTACAAATGTCACAGGATATCATTGGTTCATCCACCACCCACTGAATAGTGTAGTTTGCAGAGAATTCATTAGGATTTATATGCCAGACCCATTCTCTACCCAGGGAAGGGCAGACCTGGATTTCCATCTTCCAGGCAAATACTCTTACCAGCACTCCAGGTCCAATGCTAGCTCTCCTTTCACAGGGGTCAGCCTGACCAGCCTGGAGTTTAGGATGTTGGACATATGGGATTGTCTGCCTTCAGGAAAGGGAGCGATCGCAACATAAATCCTGAATATCCTGTACCCAAGGCAACAGCTTTAACTCCACAGACTGGTGTGGGCAGGTAACACTTGCCTTGGAGACAATCACAGAACCACAGAGTCACAGAATGTTCAGGTTGGAAGAGACCTTTAAAGGTCATATAGTCTAACCCCCCTGCCATCTTCAACTAGACCAGGTTTCTCAGAGAGAGGTTGAACTCTACAGAGTAGCTCCATCTCAAGCAATAACTGCTCTATTACCAAATTGACCTCATGACCTTAGAGACTCAAACTTGTGGTTTAAAAAATTAAACTCTTGATCACCTAAGCCAGAATATTTAAAGAGCTTGAATGAGGTTCAACGCATTGAGGAGAGTCTGTTTTTTGGTTTTTTTTTAATGTAAGTCTATGCTGCTGTACCCCAGAGCAGTGTTAAATACATTTATCACTGTTAAACATCTGCTGTTGATCCCACAGGGTGGAATGGGGAGGGAGCTGACACCACACAACACTGGCTGTGTTTCTGGTGGCATGCATCCTCACAATCCAAAGCTTTGGCTTTGGATTTTGGCACTGCCTTGGATCTGTAAGGCTGTGTTAGGAAAGACATGTCAAATTGGCACAGACACCCTCAGAGATGGGAGCAATCATCTTCTCATGGGAGTACAACATGGACTTTCTCCATCAATGACATTCATGTGGAAGAGAAGAACTAAGATATCCCTGACTGGACTGCATTTGTGTTTTAAATATGAGTATCAACCCTCCAGCACCAGGACCTGGTGAGAGCTGGCAGCAGCTGGAGCAAACCTCAGCATTTTCTTTCCTTCCTACCCACAAGTCAGGAGTGGCCTCTTTGTTCAATCTTTATTTACTTAAAATGTTTTAGACTGATTCTTTCAGCTGATACTTACCTTGTTTATCAAAGATGGCATACAATGGTCATTAAAAGGCTGATTTATAAAATTCTTCATAATTCACAAATAGGTGTAACTTAGTGGTTACTTTCTACTGGAGGAGGAAGCAAGAACAATGTTTTTAAGAATGATGATGTTCTTGCCTCATTTCTTTGGAAAGAAATAATTGATAGTAACTGTTTTGATATAATTTTAATCACATTGAACTAAAATTGCGTGAAGAATGTAATTCAAATCAATAAAATCAGCCACTGACCCGTCATTTTTCAGTTGGGTTTACAATTTTTCCTATGAAGAGAATGCTTTGAGTATATTGATCAACAATCAACAACAAAAACGGACGGTTGAATTTAACGACAGGGGGAACAGAATGAGGAAGAAAATCTAAGCTAGTGACTGCTGCAGCTTCTGTGCCATTCTCATGAATCTTCAACAGGGCCTTGTGAGCAGCCTGCAATGAAATAGACCAAGAATTAACGTAAGTGGAAGACGGGGTGTGAAATGAGTAAAATTAGCACTAAGTTAATTCAGCTACTGCCTGCTTTCACACTGCCTGTGGTGGCTTTTTTAGTGATGTTGTCTCAATAAGCAAGTATTCTCACATTCAGAGTTTCTCCACGTGTGTGTCCAACACAGACTTTAGGGACTGCACACCTTGTGGAGTTAATTGAGATTAGAATATTCAAGCAAATTCAAAAAGAATGACAACTTCAGAGGGAAGGAAATTTGGGCTGCAGAACTGCACTGTATATATCCCTAATAGCACATGCATTACAGTTCAGTCAGTAGAAATTCAACCTTGGAATTATTTCTATTATTTTATATTATTGTTAGGTATTTTTAATATTTCTGTTTTACTAGCCCCAAAATGTTAGAACATTGTAATTGCCGCTTTCAGAATGGCTGTAAGAATGCTAGCCTTTCTCTTCACTTTATCTGTTTCTCTTCATATTATTTTCAGGAAATGGGATGTTTTCCTCAAGTCTGGTCCATTTTACATGATTAGCACCCATCGGGGCCTTCAATGGCAGCTGAAGTTTTAAAATCCTCTAAAATTATTGAATGCACATGTTAGAAGAAGGGCACTTTTTCTGCTAGATATGCTGGTGCAAGCCATCCCCAACACAGATATTCATGGGAACTTCTTTCACATGCAGAAACTGAGCTGTACTTAGTTTCTGGGGCCAATGCTACACCCTTCCCAACCTTTGCCTGGCAGACTGAAGACAGTACCCTTATCTTCAGATATTGGAGAAGTCAGAGAGAGTTTAAGTTACTTTATCAGCTAAATGTTCTAGTTCAGAGTATCAGCCAGACCTAGCAATAAATAAAATTTCCCAACTTGGGTTAGGGCAAGACAAATGGGTATTGAGAAATCCACGGACCATTGCTTCTGCTGACAAACTTACTTTTGAAACCTTCACATCAGGCTTTCCTGTGATTCCAGACAGATCAGCCCAGTCAGAAAACACATCAGTTACACCTAGATTCATGAATATCTTCTTTAAGTCATAGTTGCCTGAAATCGATAATTTTGGAATATACACTTCTATCCTCCTGTTAATTCAAAAGAAAATTATGGTAGTTATTGAAATTAAAGTATGCCTTGGACTGAAGGTCCCAAGACTCCCAACTTGCTGGAGGTTGTTCTGTGCTGAACTGTTAGTCTTTTCATCTGAAAAAGATGATAAAAGAAAGAAGATGGGAAGATGGTAGTGTGGAGGATGGGAAAGGAGAATGACATCAGTTGGGCTTTCTTGTATGATTCTGCAAGACAGTCTCTTGATGGGAGACCAAACAGCGGTGGTGCCAGCCCAACATTTTTGGGAAGTTTCAATTCTCATTCTAGCCTTGAAGGTTTTTCTTTTAGAATTTACACCCCATTCCCTCTGAAGGATTAGATTGCTATGTTGCAGTATTACCACTCTTAACACATTGTGCTTGAGACAAGGGAAATGGAGACCTTAACATCAACTAGGAAATGTGTGGGGGAAAAAGAATAAATTTCCCAACTCATAGATCTCTTCCCTCATCACAATGCAATGATGATTCTAATTTTTGCTGAAAGTATCAAATCATCAAACCATTTGGTCTGCTCCTTTATACTTATTCCATTGCTTAAATCTTCAATCATCAGCAAAGGCTAGTAACTGTAAAACCTGATGATAGTATTCAGACTTTGGATTCTGGCTACCTTGAATCATCAAATCAGAATTCTATACTTACTGTCTTTGAAGAGATTTTTCCCATTTAGCCACGGTGTCTTTTGTCAGGGCAGCTTCCAACTGTTTCATTTTTCCTTCATTGGGCAGGATAAATAATGCTGCAACATCTCCCTTGTAAGGAATCTGCACCACTTTGCAAGACAGCTTCCTGTCAGAGTATGCTTTATAAAATCCATCTCGAGTCATCATCTTCACTTCAACTGAGGTCTTCCTATTCACATGGAAATAATCCTTGCGAGTCCCCTTAATATTGAAAGGATTTACCCAGTAGGCTTAAAACCAAAAGAGAAAGAATGCAATCAATTGCTTATTTCAAGGAGGATATATTAATATAGTCCAGACTAATATATACCAGATAAACCCTTATCTGAAGATTTACACTCATATTTTAGGATGAAAGGTATTTCAGGTTTATTAATGATCTTGTTCCCTGTCATCTTTGCTGCACTGTGTTCAGTAACAACTAAGTATCCCAGGTTAAATTTCATATGGACTTGTACAATACCTAAGTCAGATAAATTCAATGAAGTAACTTCATCATATTACCTTACATTTTATTTGAATAAAATGAAAGCTGACTAGGATCCAAACAGTTACTTTTTGGTTTCAGAATATTGCTTGTGAAGCAAGTTCCACAGCAGATGTCTGCCTTTTAAAAGGTATCATATTAAGCTCCTTCCATGCTTTTTCATATGTTCCTCATCTTGTAACACTAAGGAAAAGTTTACTTGCAAGAACAGCCCGAACTTTTTGGCCTGATCATAACTGCATTATGGTAAATGGAATAGGGGTTCAAGGGCTTTAATCTTCATAATGGTTTTCTCTTTATGTTTATTCAACTGAATTTTTGATGATATTTTATTTTGTCTTAAATCGGGTCATTCACTGAACAAATACACAGGGATCACAGCTTGTCATTCTGTAAGTATGCTCTCTTTTTTTTTAATATTGAATAGAAATAAAATAAAATTGAAAAATAAATAATGGAATGTAAACTCCATAGTACTCTAATTACTTCATAAGTTTGAGCTTTCCTCCCTACCCCACCAGTAAAAAAAATATACTTCAATATCATAAAGCAATGCCTCAGACTAGGGCACCTGAGGTTAGGGTACCCAAATTTAATAAAGAAATAAAATCTGTGTTGCTGAAAGTTCATTTATTTCCAAACATGCCTTTCTGGGTGGTAAACTCCATGTATGTCCTGCACACTGCTGCAAATAGATATAACACCTAAGAGGAAGTTAATCGTTGTGAAAGCAGTGCATTCTCAAGTACCTCTCGGGATATGTATAATGGGATGACAAGTTGTAGAGCATTTAGACTCCAACTTCAGAGGTACCTATCCATTTATTAGGCATGGACTGTAAGTAAATTAAAATGTTTGGCAATTTTTGTTAATCTCCATCTTTGGAATTTATTTTTTGACTTCATGTAGCATGTGAAAACATTGTAATTTTAAAAATAATAAGTAGATAAAGTCTGTCAGAAGAATTTACAAACACATGAATCATGTTCTGGCAATTCCCTAAAACCTGAAGATTGCAAATAAATTAACTTTTATGCTTAGGAGCCTAAACATATTCTAGAAAAATTTAGTTGTGGGAGAGGTTTCAAAGCATGAGAACTTTCAATGTTCCTTATCAAAATAGCCTAATTGTAACACTGGCCTTTCTTTTAAAAATAATTCAGAAATAATCTGGGACATTTGTTTTAGTGCAGGTGAAACTGAGGTACTACAGTAAATAACACCTATGTAACTTACCTTTGAAATAAATGTAGTTAATGATTACCATTAGAGTGTTTGGATCAAGGTCTTCAAGTATTTGGTTTATATTCCCATGAGTTTCATTCTTTATATGTTCATTGACCTCTTTCTTAGCTTCGGTGGAATTCTGGAAGTTACTAGAAACAACTTTTGCATTGTACAGTTTTTTGATGTCCTTCAGAAATGTTTTCTGTGGCTTCAGGTGTTTGTCCATGAACAGAGTGTTTCCCATACTGAGTTGCACCTGGCTGCCAGGGCGGTTAAGCAAGAGGAGGAGATGACGAAAGCCATTGTGTATCTCCTCCTCCTGGGTGTCAGTGAGGTTAAAGGCTAGCCCTTCCAACACCTGAGTCTGGCTGATGGCTCTGGAGCCCAGGGCCAGCAGGGCAAAGGCAGCAGAGATACTGACCGGGGAAAAGAAAATGTTCTTGCCAGGTTCTTGGGTAGCTGCTTGCCTGTAAAACCGGAAGGCAAAGTCTGTGTTGCTGGGGACTATCTGTCTGCAGGACTCAAGAGGATCTCCCTCATGGAGATGTGGCTCCTGGGGTTCAGTTGCGCTGGGCTTTTCATTGTCGTGGTCAGTCTGGGTCAGGCTGTGGACAGTGAGGTGAAGCGTGACCACCAGCAAGCACAGCGGGAGGGTGGCCCTCATCATCCTTTGCAGCTGTTGTGTGAACAAAGAATGAAATGGTCTTGGATGCTGGAGATCAGCTGTGTCAACTTCTCATCTTTTATTTCCATCTGCTACTACCTTCAACAGCTATCTGGTAATCTCTGTTACCTCCTGACCTGCTCCTTGACTATGAAAGTGTTTTTTAAATCCTTGTACTTCCAAGTTTATCTGTAATTCCTATCCACTGCTGTCTGCTTCTGTTCTGCTTTACTCCAGCTACGAAAGTCCCTTGTTACTAGAGAAAGAAACATGTGAGTATTAAAGAAAAATAAGACCAAGAGGGAGAGAAAAGTGAAAAGGCCTTTTTTTTGTCTCTGTGTAAATCTGTTTTATAGTGAGGTAGCACACCAGGAACAATTCTTAATTCTTTTATGTTTGTCTCTTAGAACTCTCAGGATTATTATGCTATTAGTGATTGAATGAGGCTTCCTTCAAATGACAGCCCTTTGTCAATGGAAAACAATATGGTATTTCAGCTCTCAAAAGGAGTATTCTTTCCCTCATTCTTGACTCATTTTAATATTCGAAGTGACTAATCACATGAGAGATGGTAAAAATTTTCTGCTTCAATACCTGATTAGATCAGAATATGTTGCTTTATTTTAAACAACCACTCATGTGACACATGTCTTCCAGATGGATTTTTCTCTCTGTGAACCCCATGCCATCCTGGTCATGGGAGGGTGAGGTCACTGGTAAGGGCTAAGCCCCTCCTGTCTTTCCAAACTTTTCAAAAGCCTCCTTTCATAAGGCAAACAGCCCCGTAGCACTCAGCAAAGAGCCTGGATTATGGCATCTTGGCTGTTTCTGATAACTGTGACCATTTTTTGTTGTTGTTTGTTTGTTTATTGCTTTTTCTTTTACATGTTAGACCAAGAACTTTGTGGGATAATTTGTAGTGTTTAGGATGTTTAACTTCTCAGAAAACAGGTATTCCAATTTAAAATTGTTCCACCTAATGTTCTACTTAAAGAGGACCAGCTTTAGGGAAGATGACTTAAGTTACCTGCTCAGCCCCATTCAATGGCAAAGGCACTCAGAGACAAGGGTGCAGCAGAGAACAAGATGTTTGTTGGGATTTCCCTCCCCCTCGTGTCACTATTCTGACCACTAAGATTTGAGTGAAAAAGAGCCAGCTTGTCCTTCTGCAGCTTTGTTCTGTGAGATCTGAGTGAATCAGGACTTACAGGGTAGGTTGGCATAGCAAAACCAATTTGTGAATCCTGCCTGGACCACATTGGTGTAAATAAGAGAGCTCATTCATCTCCATTTCAGTTATCTGGTTGTAAGGTTTAGGGAATGTTAGTAATCATAAAAAATAAGATTGACAGTTTGGAAGTCAGGATACTTCCCTCTTGTTAATGAAATGGATTTCTTCTAGATGTGAAAGAGCTACTTGGGATAAATATTCAGAGCAGAGTTATGCTCTGTGGAGCTGCTATAACATATCCCTACAATTTGCTGTTCAATATTTCTTGAAATTAAGTTCTGCTGTCATTTGAGTGCTTAGAAACCAGGTTTCACCCTTGAAAGCAAATGTACTTCATGAATCACTAGCTAAATGCCATACAACTGCATGAAAATTGTTAAGGTAAGATAACTGAGTACTTACATTACATTCAGAAGGTTCTTGCTCTTGTATGGGTTGTGCTGTTCCTTGCTGCTTATACTGCTGTTTTCCTCTGTTAAACATTACATGGCTTCAAATACGTATTACCTAGAAGGACAAAGCTAAATGCTGATGAAGCTAGTTTTCTTGGACATGGCATGCATGTGTCCACATCACTCCAAACAGAGAGCAAAGACCAGAGGGCCCAGCTGGTCATTACAGTGGAGTGTTACATCCCAAAGGGTATGGAACTCCTAAGCAAATATTTATTGGAAATGCCATTTTTGTGCCAAGGGCAGCTACTTTGCTCTGTGGGCTACCTGAAATGGAGAGAGCTATTCATCTGGAGACACACAGTTTTGCCCAGGACTAAACTCTGAAGACCAGGGTTAGGGTGAGGGAGCTGCAGGGAGCACCAAAAATGCAACTGCTGTAGTATAAAGGCACAGTCCCAAATCTCTCTAAGAATAGCAAATAACAGGAGAAAGCAACCCAATTACATTAACCAATAACAAATCAAGGCAGTCTCAAAGAATAAGTCTCAGCCTTCTTGTAAAGATTTATTTCAATTTCCTGGGATTCTTCCAAAGGAAGATAAGTGCTGTGAAGCTGGCTGGCCAGCATTCGTGGCTGGGGGAACTGTTTAGATATGTGGTTTGAATAGCCATCCAGGAGAATGCCTGCTCAGTCTCTCTATGCCTCTGCTGCATCTTCCAGGACTTGTTACCATCCACTCAGGAAGGGGTGACACAATTCCCTGGATCCTGAAGAGCCAAGGAGCTGTGTAAGTAAAACAGCATAAGAATGGCTGTTCCCGGTCCCCAGATCTGCTGCTTTCAGAGGTACTTTTTCTACTGGAATCTATGGCCTAATCTATACAGCTGAACTCTGTGTGCTTGTTTTAGATACAGACAGAGTTTGCTGTTACGTACTTGGATTTTGAAGTTGTATTTTTTTCTTACTAGAGCACCCATTGTTACTGTCCCCTGAAGCGCTTGCGTAGGTCAGGTGAGGCTTGATGGAGGAAACTGTTCTCTTCTGCCACCCACAAAAACGCTGCATTTGAATTAAGTGAACTTATAAACTAGAATGCTTGATTTCACAAATACAGTCTTTCAGGAAAAAAGAGTGAGATGCTTGCAGTGTTCCAAGACAGTCAGACTGTTGGCTGTTCTGTGCTGCCTCTTTAGTCATACAGCTAAGCCACATTAAACATTTACACTTCTGTTAAACATTACATGGATCAAAACAAAATTATCTGAGGATGCAGATAAATGCTGGTGAAACTATTTTCCATCCACATGTAGCCATGCAGATCAGGTGAAAATCAGTGATCACAGGGCCAGCTGGTTTAAATGTTTGCTGTCCCAAAACATGCATAATTGCCATAGGCTAACACACTTTGGAGAGAAGAGGTCTATGGCCATGAACAGCTGTTTTACCAGATATAGCTTCCTAGATTATTACAAGCTAATGACACAGGTGCTAAAACATCTCCTGAGGTGTGTTATGGCCTTCTTTGGGGCCTTAGTTTCCTCACCATGCAGCTTGGACACCTGCTACAACATGCTAAACTAAGCTAACTTTGTGTTCTGTGAAAAGCAGAGCAGAAGAGGTAATTAACATGCAACTTGTGTTTTCCCCCAAATTAACTTAGCATCAGTTCAGAAACAGTCCCACACTCAAAGGCTTCCTGTGAGCCTTGGTTTAGTCACATCTGAAGAGGAAGCCTGGGCAGTGGAGTCCACTGTGCAGCCGCATGGCCAGCTGAAGAGCAATGTAGCAGAAGAGAGTCTCAATGTTCTAAGAGGAGATGTATGCAAGGGTTGGGGGTAATTCTGGATTCCCCGCATGGCTCTGAGGTGAACCAAAGCATGCTTCAGTATGAGAAAACTGTGGCAGAGACACAAGTGCAAATGTTTTTGCTGTTCAGACATTCATCTGTACTATTTTTTTGTTGAAAGTCAACTTCGATTGATTTTGAAACTCTTACAAAATCTGCCTCTCTGTGCTTCAATTAACAGTGTTTCATGAGGTGGTGGCTTGAAGAAGTCTGTTGTCCTACCAAAGAGGTCAGCAGAGGTTCTGCAAGCCAAAAGTTGATCTACCACAGGGCCTGCTTCTGGAGAGTAACTTGCAAAATATGCCTGCACTGCCACTTTGATTTATGCCTTAGTTCATTCCTGACCATGTGACTGTATTCATAGTATATTACTCCAAGTGTCTCTGGTATAAGCTGCCCAGCTCCTTTCATCAGCAAATGCTCAGCAAGCCTTGCAACCCCAGGTAGCCCCAGCCATGCCCTGCTGAATGCAATGCTAATACTAAGAATCACTCTATATAAACATTTTCTCGTGCTGTTACGTAACTTTCCTGTTATTTTGGGCACTCTGAAAGAAAAACAAAGAAAAACAAACAATGGTAATTTCTCAAAGCAGTACAATGTCAGCCGTGGGCAAGTGCTTGCAGAGCAGACAAAGCCACCCCAGTCCAGAAGATCCATAACATCCACATAATATATTATGTATCTAGTATAGACACGAACCACTCCATACCAGCGGGCCCAAGGATGTCGTCGTGTCCCATCCACAAAGACAGTATATACATTGCCAGAATTCACCATTGCTTACCTTAGCACCAAACTCCATCTGAAAGGGTGCAGTCATTGTGGGGGAGAGAGAAGGGGGCTCTGGACCAGTAGTCAGTGTTAGGTTGAAGAGCATACCTCGAGTACGTCTTGAAGACATGCATGGTTGCAGTCAGATTGTTCCATGAATTTCCATTCTTACAACAGGACTTAAAGGTCTGCCAGCCCCTGGCCTTCAAGTCAGCAGGGAAGGAGGATGCATGGAAGACAAGCCACACTCAACATGGTTTGTGTAAGAATCTTTTCCGGCATTTCTTTTTCCAAAAATATTTGTCTTGGCTCTGTTCCATTTGACAGATCCTGCATGCTCATTTATACTGTATGGAGGTTAATGAGACCTCTAAGTCAGGAGCTTGTTACTCTAATGAGTCTTTAATATAATAATTTGCGTAATTTGAGAGGTAGACATATCCTTTTCAAACAATGACTATGGAAGTCAGAGATGATGAATAGTTTATCCAGAAGGAATGTAGATCTGTGATTCTCATTGAACCTAGATAGAACTGGAATTGACATGTCAGTCAAGCATAATACAGAAAGAGTTCTGTTCCTGACTGCCATTAAAATCATGACTTTAGGACAACAAATTTCATATGTCACAGTTTTAAAATGTGCTCAGGATTTTCTTTACTTTTCTTGTAATAGTTACCTATGTAAAAGCACTCCCAAGTAGAGAAGCACAGTGAGAAACACAACTCAGAGACGTGCAAAATGCTTGTGTTACCATTTTTGTATTGGAAAGCCTTGAAGATAATATTCCAGCTCTAAAACCTCAGTAAAGAAAGGATATAATTCTGGGATTCTGTGATATAATCCCATTTTATTTCATTCATTAAGCCCTCAAAAGTTTCCTGTCCATGTACAGTATTTATTGATTCAGAGAAAAAATGTAGAATTTACTTCTTTGTCATGTGGAAAGCAAGCTTCTGACACAAGAATGGCTGGAAGCCGATTTTTTAAATCCATGTTTATGAACCAAAATAAAAATGTTTAAATAATTATCTGTGTTTCATGCTTACATTTGGCAGATGCTTGAAAGAAATGTTAAGGTGCTTGATATTTGCTGGCTGAGTCATGTTTTTATCCAGGAGCCCTGCTGTGACTTAAAAAGTGCAATTTTAAGACTCCAGCTTTGAAAACTCTAGTTACGCTAGTGGAAAGTTTGTCCATGGAAAGTCTTACTGGTCCTAAGTAGCTGTTATTTAACCTTTTTTCTGAGTAGTAGTGATTGGCTTAAAAGAGATTTTTTTAAAAACAGCAGCCTAAAATCTTACATTGAACATGCAGACACAGGTTCTGGATGCACTAAAATGGCTTCCTTAATTTTTCTCTTTAGTACATTTGCTAAAGAAACACAATTTTGCTCTTAGCTCTAATATAAACACAGTTCATGTGCAGAATTGTTCTGATCTGATGTACTGTGTTTATACTTCCAGGGGAAACAATTATGTCGATTTGTAATTGATACTAAAGAAAACTCTAGCCTCGTGTTTTTGCTTGATTCGGTCTGCAAGAATTGGTGAATTTCTGTGAACAGCTACACAGTGGCTGTTCAATGAGCCATGCCTAACAAAGTAATAAGGCTTAATTAGCCCAACCTAATCCGACAGTTTGCTGCTGGCACACTGTCTGTTAGTACAGCTGGCTAGCGATGCATGTATGCATATGAAATAAAGATTGCTCCTTGCAAGTTTTCTTTGCTTTTCAAGTATTGTGTGGTGGAATTCTTGCAATTTCAAGTTGTCTTCTCATACAAACTTTGCTTCCTCCCATCCAATTTAAAAACAGGTCTCAGTTAACAAAATTAAAGTGTTCTTCATTTTGAGTTTTGGTAGAGGCTGTTTTCAAGCTAAACGTTGGCAATGTCTATATGAAATTCATATTCTAGTTTGGCCATGTCGAAAGTCTGAGTCACTCAAGAAACCACAATCTGTGTGGCCAAATCCCTAAGCCTGTAATATCTCCAACATGTACCATTCTGTCAGGGTGCAGAAGCCCTGAGTACAGTGCAGAGTGAGACTTCTCAAGGCAGCATTAGACCTGCACAGAAATAGTCACAGGTTTAATTTTACAACATCTTCATTTATGCTTTAAAAATGAAACCTTTTGTTCTCATGTTGATGTTCACGGTACAAGTGCAAGACCAGGAAATTGCCTCACATGGATTTCCAAACCCAAAACTCTAAGCCAAGATTTCCTCATTTTTCACTTCAGACAGTTTAGCCTACAGTCACAATCAACAATGACCGCTGAATAGTGAGAGGTCAAGAACTAAACTTATATTCAGCAGCCTTGACTAGTGCAGCCTGCCTGCACTCCACAGCAAAACTCAGCAGGCCTTTGCGAACATCCTGCAGAGAAAGTGGGCAAATTTCATAGGAACAGGAATTGGACAGTAGAAGTGTGAAGGGAGGTCCCTGATGCAGTGACTCCCTGGAGTAAAATCATCTGACACCCTGGAAAAGTTGTACCTCTCTGGAAAGAGACCTAGTGGAGAGCAGAGAACTGGAAATGCCAG